GCTAAACACCAGAGTCAACAGGTTGTTTAATTCACATTTGTTCATGGTTTATTTACAACTTTAAAGTAATTGTACTTTTACTGCTTTGTCTCTGCTGTTCTGCTCTTTAAATCTTTAAAGGTTGAATGGAAAAAAACAAACAAAACAAAAAACGAGAGCCTGACAAGCCGAACTTTGGGTTTATTTAGCCAGATGTTAGCCTCTGTAGCAGCCTGCAGCTGTGCAAATTTCACCTGCTAACATGCTAACTCTTGTAGCTTGTTGCAAATGTTTGTTTTTGAAAAGAGTCGTCTTGAAAAGAGACGCTCCTCTAGCAGGGAAGCTATGACCGATCGAGTTATCTGCTGGAAAAAGGTACGACCAAACGTCGACCTCTTTTTTTTTCACGAGCATAAAAGTTGCAAATGGACTTGTAGGAGATCAGAGCTCTGCTGGACACAGACCTGTCTGACTCTCTTCTTCAGGGGTTGCCACATCGAGCAAACTTGTATGAAAGATTTGGCAAATGTTTTATGCTGGATGCCCTTACTGGCAAAACCTGGGTCTTGAACCTGCAACCTCAGGATTACAAGATCACAACACTGACCACCAAGATACCGCAGCCCCAGGAACAAAACAAGAAAACAACAAAAAAAAAAATCTCTCCATTGTTTTTGGTCACCTGGTGGTGCACCTTGAAACCAGTTATCAGCCTATGCCTCATCAGGACACATCAAGAAACACTGTCAGACTCACCGATCTGGTCCTCGGGTATCAGGGACTCGATGGGCGGGTCGAGCTCAGAGGTCTGGCGCAGGTAAGCCTTCATCTGGGTCATGAACTGCCTGACGGTCTGCAGGAAGTCCATCCCTGACGTGTGGCAGCTCCGGTTCTCCTGAACAAAACTGACGTAGTCCTGAACCAGGCAGCCGAAGTAGGTGCTCTTATTCCGGGACAGCTCAGTGATCCGTTTCACGGCCCGTTTGTCCGGCGTCATGAGAGAGCTGAGCATCCCGCTCACCTTACTGAAGCGTCCCTTCAGAGACCGGGGCAGGACGAAGGACGTGCCGTTCAGGCTCACGCCCACCCTTCGCCTTCGAGCTTTATACGATGGACGGAAGCGCGTTTCCAGGTCCGCCTCCAGGCCAACGCCGTAGTCCTCATCGTCCTCTTCCTCCCCATCCTCGTCTTCCTCGCTGCTGTCCTCCACTGTGTCCTGATGGCTGAGGTGTTGGGACGACGGCGGGGCCAGGTTTAGGGAGAACCCGGGGGACCGCGAGTTATCCAGCGAGTCAGAGGAAGACGTGGACATGCTCATGTCACTGAGACGCTGGTGTCGACTCTCTTGAGGACCCTCGGCATTGTTCCCTGGACCGTCTGCAGCCGGCGGAGGCTGGCAGCGGGGGAGGTTGGCGCGGGACAGAGCCTTGGCGATGGTCTCATCATCCAGGGCGATGTGGCACCGGTGGGCTTCGAGATCGGGCTTCTTGGGCCGTGGAGGCGGTGCATTTGGTGAGGACGTACTTTTGGACAGGCTGCTGGATTTGGAACCCATCGATGGCCGAGGAGGTGCTGGGCGCCTGCTGGAGACCTGCTGCCTGGAGCTCACAGTCTCTGGCATGCTCTTGGGTCTGCTGGTACCCGCTGGAGGCCCGGGCGGCTGAGGAGCAGGCCGGCGCCGAGGCATAGAGCGAGGGGGAGGGGGGCGAGGAGGAGGGGGACGGGATTTCCCGTTCAGTTTGATCTGGTCCACGTTCGGGCTCCTGGCTGGCGGGTCCAGTTCAGCCGTTTCCTCTGGTTTGAGCTGTGGAGGAGGGTCGTCTCTTCGACCGTAGGGGTGGGTTTGCAGAAACAGTGGATTCACAAAACACAGGGGTCCGCTTGAATACCTGCCCCCCTGGTGAATGGAGGGTGGAGGCGTGTAGAGCCGTAAGGTGGGAGGCGCGCTGTCGCTGTGAGTGCCGGCGTGCCGCTCCTGTGACCCCCCGACCTCCCCGCTCCTGTTAGTCCGCTGGGGGCTGAGGGTTCGGCTCAGAGGGCGGCAGGGAGGGGAGGGGGCGGAGCGCCGCTGACTGCACAGGGCAGAGTCCCAGAAGGCTGGAAAACACAGAAAGTCAAATATGAACAACAAAACCAGGACGAGCCGTTCTCTCAGAAACAAAAAGTGAATTCAGTAAAATGATCTCACCCAGAATTCAGACATCTCATAAAGTTTTTACAAGTTTAGCCCGTCTTTATGTGCCGCTGTGTCAGCCCTCTGTCCGGCAGAAGAAGCTCAGCAAAAGTGTCAGCTCCGATTCTCTGAATGCCGACACATTCAGAGGGAGGCAACCATGCAGATGACGGAGGAAGGGGGGGAGGGCCTTGAACGCACCACCAAGCAAACAGTTCCAGTTCCACCACTTCCTGCTCTGGAGTTCCCTGCAGCTCCTGCCCGAGTAGTTTCAGGATCCTTTAAGTTGATTTTGATCCTTTTGTTGAGCTGCCCTCTTCCTTTTGTTAAACTGTACCGTGAACAGGCTCTAAAAACTCACCGAGAAAACAAGTTCTTCTGTTTTTACGGGACAATAAAACTGCTTAAAGGCGTGGGCACAGAGGTGACTCACGCCGTCTATAAAAAGAAACAACAACTCTCAGATTTCTGGGACACTGAAGCCGGTGGAGCAGCTTCAGCGGCCTGATGAAACCCTCGGAGCCTCAGACCTGCCCCTGGGATTTGTCACGGGTGGGTGTGAGCAGCTGACAGCGTGGCCTCCGTCAACAGGAAAACCAACAAACGCCTCAAACTAAACACGGTGCCTGATTCAACGGAGAAACAATCTGCTCTGCTTATTTTAGTGCAACAGGTTTGACTGGAAAGTCTTCAAAGATAAACCCTCGTCTTCTTCAGGAGAATCTTATCTTGAACTTTAAACGTCCAGCGGATACAAAACTCCCTACATTTAATGCAACATATGTTTAGTCTTTGTAAAAGGGGGTCTGTCAGATTGCGGGTCAAGACTCGGGTTAAGACAGCCCCAAAACTTTAATAACTTTCTGGGGAAGACCTCTGGATGTACAATTCTCTCCATATTCATCTTTCTAGCAAACATTTGAAGGTTTGGAAGTTTCAAATATGTATTTATTTTAGCTTCAAGCCATCAAACGGGAATAAAACCACAGTTTCAGATGAAGAACAGCAACCCTGCTTATGATGCTGCCACTGCCATGCATCACAGTCTGGTTCCTGAACCAAACATACAGCAGCATCTCAGAACGTTAGAATATCGTGAAATAAGTTCCATTTTTTGTGGTCAATCATTTCAGAAAGTTAAACTCATATTACCTAGATTCATTACACAGAGTGAAATATTTCAAGTCTTTATTTCTTGTAATTTTGATGATTATGTCTTACAAAAAAATGAAAAAACAAGTCAGTGTCTCAGATTTTTTTCTTTATGTGTAATAGGAGTTTTACTGACCAAAAAAAAAAAATGTAATTGTTTCATGCCAACAATTTTCAGTCAGGTCATCTGGACAGTTTCTTTTTTTTTTTTGTGCTGAAACATTTCACCTTCCATCCAGAAGGCTTCATCAGTCAAGGAAACACAAAACTGATTCTTCCCCCAACAGCTTACTCCTAAGTGGAACAAACCAGTTTGTTGGTGCTAAGATGGTGTCTTTGGCACACCCCATCCTCCGGTGCCGGCCCTCTTCCTCGTTGACAGTCATGTCAAACTGGTTCAAAACCAACAAAGTCCATGCTCAATAATCCAGGTATACAATCCAACAATTTTCAATCAGGTCAAACATTTCAGCACAAAAACAGAAACTGTCCAGATGACCTGACTGAAAACTGTTGGATTGTATACCTGGATTATTGAGCATGGACTTTGTTGGTAACTGTTTCTTGATATTCTAATTTTTTGAGAAGCAGCTGTACTGTCAAAAGTCACTTCAGGTTTATTGGAACATGTTTGTCACTGGGTTTTTGGGAAGAGCTTAAATTTTTTCTAATATTTATCCAGTTTTAGACGTTTAATGCGTTCTTTGTAACGAAAACAGTCAATAAAAAGTTTTAGAAGGAGCAAACAGAAAGCGTATTCACCAACACGACACGTCCTAAAAGAGCAAAAGCACGCTGCAGTTTGTTTTGCTCCACGTCTCCTCTCATATAAACACTTTTAGAGGAATTCCATATTTTCCTAATAGAGCACTTCACTCTCTGCGGGTTTACTTGTGGTTCCTAGAGTTTCAAAATGGGAGGAAGCGCTTTCAGTTATCAGGCTCCTCTCTTGTGGAACCAACTTTCAGTTTCTGTCCGTGAGGCTTGTCTACCTTTAAGATTAGGCTTAAAGTTGTCCTTTTTGATAAATCCTATAGTTGGGGTCGGCTTGGGTTTCCTAAGCTATCCCTTAGTTATGATGCTATAGGCTTAGACTGCTGGAGGACAAATTGACCACACTTCCTCACTCTGCTGCTGTCTTTTCTTGCTCTACCTGTTTGTATTTGTAATTATTTCAATCTAACGTGTTTTTTGTCTTTCCTCCTATAGAAAGTTCACCTGGACCTGTCATTCTTCTGCTTCCTGTCCTCTCAAACCCAGCCGGTCGAAGCAGATGGCCGCTCGTCCTGAGCCTGATTCTGCTGGAGGTTTCTTCCTGTTAAAAAGGAGTTTTTCCTTTCCACTGTCTCCTTTGTGCTTGCTCAACATGGGCGACTGTGACGAAGTGAAGATTCAGCACAATCTGCTGCTTCCTTAGATAAATAACTTCACTAATTAGCTTTGTTAATGTATGTGTATGTTTCTGTTCAGTGCTCTGAGACGACTTCTGTTGTAACTTGGAGCTATAGAAATAAACTGAACTGAATTGAATTGAATCCTCCCAGCGGACCAAAAACAAGCTAAAGACACTGAAAACTATAAGGACAAATAAAACGAGCTCCAACTTCAAAGTAAGAAACTTTCTGAAAGGGTTTTTTTCAGTCACAAGCGCGCTCTGTGCAGGTCGGTCTTTAAACAAAAGAGTTTGTTTCGTTTTTTTACGCACGGAGGCCGGGTCACACTTAAAGGACTTCCAGTGACTTCATGTGAACAAAAACAAAAGGCAGAGCGGCTCTCACCCAGAGCCACACCCAAACTTGGAACCATCCGGCTGTGTTTTCTGAGCGTGGTCTGATGGTATGTGTGTGTTTGGACGGCGTGCAGATTTCAACTCGACAAGCCTTTTTTTTTTTTCTGCCTCAAAGGGACGTTAGCTGTCAGCTTCCAGTCCAGGAAACTGAGCCACTGAAGCTGTGAAAGAAGCTGCGCGGAAGTTGAATTGTTGAAAAGGTGCAAATGTTTTCCTCAGTGATAATCTGGGACTTTTATTTTGTAATCAACTAAGCAGAAAAAATGGCCGACGCTTTGATGCAAACCGTAAAAGAAGAGAACCAAGATTTAAATAAATTAAAATGTTAAATCTGCTGCCAGTGGCTCATTAAGGTCACCATGGTAACCATACACCTGTATCTGTCACTCCCTATAAAACAGGCAGAAACAAAGACTAGAAAGTAAACCTCGGGTAACAGCCAGTTGAGGCAGCTTTAATTTCACTCTTCAGGCTGTGCAATGACAATGAAGACTATTCTATTCTGTTCTACTGTAAGCAGTCATTGTTTGAAAGCTGTAAGTCTTATTAAAAAAATATTTACTCATATGTGACCGAAGCATCTGTAGTTAAAAGTGTTCATTTTTATGTTTGCACAATGTTTTATGTACGAGATATGACAAGTAAGACCCTTCACTTCCTGTTAAAAAATAGTGACAAAAATAAAATCGCTGAGCAAATAAAAGTGAACTTCAACACTCAATCCTTAATAAAAACCAATAAACTCAAAAACGGTCTCTATATTCAACTGGTTGCATGTTACGGTAGAATCAGTCAGAAATGAATATAAAACACTGCAGAGTAAGAACTAATCACATCCTTATATTGATATTTCATGTTTTTCTGAAAAAAAAAAAGTCATATTTCTTTGTTTTGTATTGAGCCGAACCTGAAAAATAAGGAGAACTTTCACTAGAACCAGAAGAAAAAAGCTAAACGACACAAAAAAATCCACTTAAATTCATAAAACAAATGAAACACTTGGAAAACTAAGAAAAGGGCATCACAGGATGGTGACGCAACGTGCGCTGAAATTACACATGGCACAAGAAAAACGGTTCAAACAGGAAGTCAGCGCTGAGTGTTTTTCCAAGGATTCCCTCGCTCAGAGGAGGAAGTATAAACGACAAAACAGAAAAAGGAGTACATGAATTGAGATTCTGGTCAGTAAAATTATTGTTTCGCTTCCCCTCCTTCTTTTGTGTTCTGAACGCTTCTTCTTTTTGGAGCTTTCAATTAAAATTATTTTTGTGTTGAAAATTGGCAGCGTTCTGCAAGTTGCACTAAAATAAAATTGTTTGTGAGATATTTTGCTAACAGACACAGCACAGAAATACAGGCAAAGACAAGCATAAGGCATGTGATTCGCAAAGTAAAGTTAAATAAATGGAATCTCTTCACGTTTATTTATTATCAGTCACATTACCGTACTTTCCACCGTACACGTCGCTTCGCTGTATAAGACGCATCTATTATGCATCACCGCTGACCACCCGGAAACGTGGGTCTGTGTTGCGCTAAAAGTCGATTGGCTGCCAAATGATGGCCGCGGGAGCGTGCACAGGAGGACTTTAACAAGAATTTAACAAGATTAACACTTAAAAATAATTATTTGTTTGCTCAACATTATTGTAAAGTTGTGTCTCAGTTGAACTTTTCCTTAATTGGTCAAATCAGCTGCATTTCACCTGGGCGTCGCAGCGAAATGCAGCTGATTTGACGTTTGCTCCAGGAGTTACGGAGTGAGACGAAGGTGGCTTTGTATGGCAAGCCAAGTGTCTCATTAATTGCCACTTTTATCTATTAATGAGACACTTGGCTTGCCTTAATACTCGATGGCCCTCTAGCGGCTGCAAATGGTAGTGTTTAATATTTTTCATGTCAAAATGAATGAAATCGTCAAATCTCAGCCAAAAATTGGATTATAAATATGGGGGGGGGAAGTATATTAGTCGATTTGGTGTATAAGTTGCAGGACGTGCAAATTTATGCAAAAAGGTGCGACTGATATGGGGAAAAATACGGTAATTGCCTTTTAATGCCCATTTAATTCTTTTTTTTTTTTTATTTTAATACCACTGACGTTGAATTCATAACCTGTTGTGTGTCTTTTTGTGGGTTTGTTTGACAGAAGTTCACAAACGTTTCCTTTAAATTATAACTCGTTAAAGTGAGCATCACAGAACCAACAGAGGCGTGGAGCAGAACTTATCTGGGTTAACGTGGAGCGTCAACGCGTTAAACTCACTCAGTTTAGTGTTCCTAACTAATTTAGTCAACTAAATTCAAAGTTGCTGTGTGTCGTCCTGGATCTTCCTGCGATAATAAATCTGTTTGTTGTTGTTTGGTGGTTGCATCGCTTCAAACGTGCACTTTTGGCACAACACTTTTTTACATGTCAACCATTTCGGCTCTGTTACTACCTCACTTCCCAGCACAAAGCCACATCAGTGCTTCATCTCCTTTCACCGCCTCGGTCCATTCAGATTCAGCCCAAGTGTTTGTTTTTATTTTATTTTAACAAACTCTACAAAAGCCTTCACCATCCTGATGACCAGCAGGTTGCAGCCGTGCACTAAATTATTTGCGCTCCAGCCACTTTAGCATTTACCCATTTTCTCTTAGCGCCTGACGTTTTCATGTTTTTCTTCCAATCCTTGATCTTCCAACAACTGCGCCCTGAGCGCCCAGAAACAATGGCGAAAATGGTTTTGTATGTTAAGCTAATCTCCTGATGAGGGGGTCCAGCTGAGCGATCTTATCTTTGTCTTGAAAGCTGATTAAAAAAATAATTAAAGCCACTGAGATGCAGCGTTAATGTTTTTTAATGCCCATGGAGACCCTGTTTGTTGAGGTTCAGGTTTCAACAACAGTACAACATACAATACTTTAGCCGCTGTTGGATTTCATGTTTTATCTTTTATTATTTTTTGTCAAGCTTGAAATGTCATGTTATACAATGTGTGCACGTGTCGTTTTTAAAGGGTTTCACTACACTTATAGCCATCAACAAACTACCGTGTTTTCCGGACAATTACACCGTTTTTCATAGTTTGGCCAGTCCTGCGACATATAGTCCGAAGCGACTTGTATACGATTTTTTCATGGCACAATTTTTGGCTGACGCGTTAATTGTTTATTCATACTGACATGAACCAAAGAGTAAACATTACCATTTGCAGCCAATAGAGGGTTTTTGACAACTATTCTGTATGTTGTTCCTCTACTGCTACCCCCCCCCAACATTCACTTGGAGACAACTGAGAAAAACTTAACACAAGTAAAATGCACCACAAAGTGATGAGGAATGAGGATGATCACAGAGCAGGTGCATTTATACGGAGACTTGATTACACACAGGTGATTCTATTTATCATCATCAGTCATTTGGGACAACATTGGATCATTCATAGATCCTCACTGAACTTCTGGACTGAGTTTGCTGCACTGAAAGTAAAGGGGCCGAATAATATTGCACACCCCACTTTTCAGTTTTTTATTTGTTAAAGTTCGACACATCCAATAAATTTCATTCCACTTCATGATTGTGTCCCACTTGTTGTTGATTCTTCACAAAAAATTTAAATTTTATATCTTTATGTTTGAAGCCTGAAATGAGGCAAAAGGTTGAAAAGTTCAAGGGGGGGCGAATACTTTCGCAAGGGACCGTATATTCTGTGTGCGATTGTTATTTCAGATTAAACGTCTGTTCTTGCACTTTGTGAAATACACTTCTAAATAAATGCAACTAATACTCCAAAGTAACTTATACATTGTTTTTTTCCTCTTCATAAGGAATTTTTTGACTGATGTGACCTATATTTCAGAGCAACTTATAGTCCGGAAAATACGTACACAGCTACCTATAGCAATGGCCCCAACAAGCAGACCTCGTATAACCTTTGACCTTGATTTGTGACCCTTGAAACACGTGACTCTCCATCTAGTGATGATGCATTTGTATACGAAGTTTCATTAAATTGTCTTGAGCAGATCAGAAGTTATAGCCGGAATAAAGAGCATTTACAGATGGACGGAGACTTAACCGTAATACATCCACCTCTGACAGGTGTATAAAAGCGACCAATAGTCCCGTTGTTTTTTATTTTTATAGAATAATATTAAACATATTCAGTTTACACAAAGCAAGGTGATAAAGACGAGCATATATTTTCTCTTAACAGTGTAGGAAATCACGCCAAGTCAGTTTTTTATTCTCTAAATAATTGTTTGAAGCTTGATGAATGGTTGCATCTTGTTTATTTACTGAATGGTCTTTTTTATGGTTTTGTTAGAGTATTGTTTTTTTTAACTGAAACAACATAAACGATGAGCTACCTGCTCCGAGCTGAGCCACCTCCTCCAGTTCTTTCTGCGTCTTGGCCGATGCAATGGCTTCTGGGAGTTTGAGTATAAACGGCAGGACATCTCTAAAGAATAAACAAAGAGATAAAAACACACGTTGTAAATAAAAACAGGAGGGGGGTGAATCAAAGCGGCGGTCGGGTGAGGCTTTGAGGTGCAGATCTTGTTGGGCGTGGAGCAACGGTAGATGTTTTGGACATGTGACCCTGATGCATCGGTGAAAAACTGTCGATGCCAACAGTTTGGTTGGTAAAAACATCCTGAAGGTTGGCACACAGAGAAGTGAAAACACTCGTTTCCATTACACAGACAGATGTGAAACCCCACACAAACGCACTCACGAGCATTTTTAGTCCAGAACCACAACAAGCGTTTGGGGCTTCTGAAATTAAGGAGCAGATAAGTTTACTGCAAGTTAATCGTTCTTTGAAAACTCTAAAACCTCCACTTCCTGTTCTCAGAGATAACTGCGGTTCTGATTTTACCCAACTGAAAAAGATCATTTTAGGAGCACTTGGTCACAGATAGGGTTGCTCAAACAACAAAAATTACTTTCAGAAGCACCAAAGCCAGATGTATTTTATTAACTGGAAAGACTTTGACTTTGGTTGGTAAGGCTGTGAAAACCTGTTTTGTCCTACGTTAAAGGTACCGGACATTAGATCATCTCGAGCTCCACAGTGAGTGACACTTTCACAAAACATCTCCACAAAATGACCTAACCAGTAAGCAGAAATACCTGCTCCGGTTGGAGAAATCTTACAGAAACTGACAATCACTCATCTGCAGTGACTGCTTTAAAAGGTTGAACAAGAAAATGTGAAGTTAAAGGAAACATCCTTTGTCCCAAGGCCAGTTTAAGTATCATTATTATTTTGGTTACTTTATTTTTCTTTATGAATTGATTGTAACTATTTTCATATTATTCAACAACCAAAACAGATTTTGTTTTTTAATGTAATGGCATGTAATGGTATTAAAAAAACAAACATTTAGCCCTCCCCACTACCCATTTATGTTGCTCTTATTTTGAAATGTAATAGGAAGTTCTGTGTTAAGAGAGGTGGAAAGAGAAGGTATGTAGACGCCGCTAATGTCGAACCGGTTAACACCATAGACATAATAAGTCTGTGGTTAACACAATCTGCCAATAACGCCTTGTTTTTTTTCTCACAATGTTGAACTGGAGACGCTTCCAATGTCTTTTAATCGTCCAATCAGATGTGGCCCTCAAGATACGCCTTGCGCATTTGTTTGCAGAGATACCCTCATTCGTCCCACTCTGGGCCCTTGAGCAAGGCCCTTAACCCCCACCATCTACTCCCCCGGGCATCCTAGATAGCAGCTCTCTGCTCCACACCGAGGGCTGTGGTAGCTCAATGGTCTGTGGTTGTCACAAAGGGCATGCGGTGTAAAAATAATCGCCAAGTCTTTGTGCGACTTAGTTCGCTGTGGCGACCCCCTGAAGAAGGGAGCAGCCAAAAGAAGAAAAAAAAGTGTATGGAAGTCTTTTATCCTTTATATTATTCACCTTAATTTTACAAATGTGTCTTTTCTTTTTGTTTCTCGTTTGTTAGGGGCAAGTGGCAGGATGGGGGATGTTTGTTTGTGGCTAACCGTTGATTTAAAATGTTAAAAATGCAACAGACAGCACCAGTTCTGCAGGAGGTACAGATTATTTACCTGCTGACGCAGTAGAAAGCCACAAGGTGGAACAGATCTGCAAAGCTGATCCCAGATCCCTCCAGAGAAAAAGCTGCAGACAAATATATGTAAAAAAGAACCAGTTTAAGAGTATACCAAGATAGTAAAACGTCACATTGTTAACAACAAAACACATTGTTTTACCGGGAGCAACATCCATCTCTCTTTTCAAAATAACGCCGTTAAGAAACAAACGGTTGCAACAAGCTATAACAGTTAGCACGTTAGCAGCTGAAATATATACGACTTACTCACTGCAGAGGCTAAAAACCAGCTAGTTATTATCTATCAGCTTGTTGGGCTCTCAGTTTTCCTTTAAAAAGAGCTCAAAAGCTGAGAAAATGTAAAACAGGCAGAATGACGTTGTGCTGTGTACCGTGTGATCCCAGTTCCTCTTTCCAAGATGGCAGCACGTCTATTGCTGGGTGTCTTTTGTGTCCTGATTGAAAGGCTGTTTTAACAAATTCTTCAATGGATTTTGATGGATTTTAAATCCAAAACGTCTTTTATGTCTTATAAGTTTTTGGATACGTTCTTAAGAAATGACCAAGAGACTCAGTCCAAAAGACTTTGGCCTTCTGGATGATCTCTGAGGCCTGCCTTCCTGCTAAAGCTAATGTTTCGTAACCTGCGGATTTACTGCGACTTACCCTTGGCCTGTATTTGTAATCGCAGCAACAAGATTTATAGAAAAGTGACAACTTCTGGGTACCACCTTTTTTGGAGCTATGGTATCAACCAGACATTTTCTTTGCTAGGACTTGTGCATCATCATTTCTGGAACCCGTGCACCTTGCTGTCTTGCCATAGTGAGAGTTACTGAGAGAAGCAGAACTTGGAAAACCTTTGGACTTTATTCTGTTTATTGTCTGCATGGATTTTGGGGGAAGCAGCCATCCCTGGGTGAGTACATTTAATAATGTAGGGGCGGCTGCGGCAGAGTGGTTAGAGCAGTCATCCTCCATTGCAAGAGTTGGGGGTTTGATTCCACCAGCATTCTTATGCGGAAGTGTCCCTGGCGAAGACACTGAACCCCTCATTGCCTCCCATGTGTGCCCCATCAGCGTGTGAATGTGATAAAGCTCTGATTATTCTTTGTATAAATAAAGAATGCTGTATGAATGGGTAAATGAGGCACAGATTGTGTTGTAAAACACTTTGAGTATCTTGATAAGATAGAAAGGTGCTATATAAATACAGTCTATTTACCATTTAACGTGTGTAGTCAGTGGAGCAACCAGCAGACCATTTGACCCAGGACATGAACTTATCCCTCAATCTGCCCAGAGATATCCCACTTTCAAAGCCAAAGGTTCATGATTGATGTCTGCCTTACCGTAACACGGAGAAACTGGTAAAGAGGCTGAGACTAAAATTTGGTTATTTTCGGAACACGTTTTTCTTTCATTGTGAAAAAGCGTCTAGCTGCTGCTACTTTCTTACCCGAGTTGTATCATTGAGATCTTTTGTGTTTGAATGCATCTGCTCAATGGCTGACACGCTCATCATGCCTCGCTGAGGTTCATGATGGTGTCACGTCACTGAGTTATACTCCAAGTTAGAGTGGCCTGCTGTGGCCACCAGAAGGCTCAGCCATCGGTATATTCAAAGCAAAATGTGGACTTCTTCCCTGATTGTACAGAGACGTGCTGGATATTACTCCATCAGCTCGCAGGACTATTCGATGCTTCTTGCTGTTCATTTGCCTGAATTGAACCGAGTATAACGACTTGGTCCATTCTGCACCTGCTACACTGCAGAAAGACTGGAAACTGACCGAGTTAATTTAACCAACACCATTTAACTCGAGATTGAAAGGACTTGAGACCGACTGTGTAATTTGTACCTGCTGTTCTTAATTTTTATTTGCTTAATTTTTGTTGGTTTTAAGGTTTCTCAGTTAGATGTTTTAATTTGTTGTCTCGACAGTGATGTGGTAACTGTGTTTTGCTGCCGCTCATCTTGGCCAGGTCTCGCTTGAAAAAGAGGTTTTTAATCTCAATGGGATTTTCCTGCTTAAATAAAATAAAAAATTGGAATTATAAATACGCTATAAACAAATAAAGCACTCTGTTGACACACTTGTACAAGTATTTAAATTAAATGTATTCTTAATGCTTAAATAAATAAAAGGTTGAACCTTAATGTTTATTACCATCATAAATAAAAACGTTTTGAATAAAAAAAAGCTGATCTGAAGAGTTGAAAACATGTTCTGCTGCGTTTGTGTTTAAATCATGGCATTCAAATTAAATCACCTAAACAATTTATTTAGCTTTATTGTATGATTATGCTTTTAACGTCATGATTGTCAGACAATATGTAACATATATCTTTGGGCAGCGCAGGTGATGTAATCCCATCGTTATTGTATTTAGTTTTAATATTTTTGTTTTAAACCCATGAAACTGGTCTTTAACCTCGAGGTTATGTGGTGCGTGTCTAATCAACAACTGAAATAATCTTAATATCTTTTCAATCAGGTCATCTGTTTTTTGCCGAGATGTTTCGTCCTTCATCCCACAAGCAGTACATTCCCATAGAGGAAAAAAAAGTGTGCTGGTGATAAGATGGCCTCCGGGGCCCGCCCTCTCCCCCGTCAACTCCTCAGACAGTCATGCTAAAGTGGTTCAAAACACCAACGTTCATGCTCAATAATCCAGGTATAAAATCCAACAATGCTCAGTCAGATCATCTGGACGGTTTATTTTTTTGCTGAGACGTTTCGTCCTCCATCCAAAGGACTTCTTCAATCTGAGGAGCCTTCATTCTCATTTATTTTCCACTACGGGAGTGTGCTGCTTATGGAACTCAGTTTATTTGGTGGCTCCTCCGATTGAAGAAGTCCTTTGGATGAAGGACGAAACGCCTCAGCAAAAATATAAACCGTCCAGATGACCTGACTGAACATTGTTGGATTGCACCTGGATTATTGAGCATGAACTTTAGTGGTCAGGTTTTAATTAACTTACACTGTGACTTAAAGAGCGGTCGGTCTGGTTTTAGTTTGGCCGGTGGAGCTTCCTGCTGTTTTCAGTCGTTTTACTTATTTATCAGTAAATATTTACTGTTTAAAACAAAAACCTGACTGAGTTTTGCCCAGTCAACTCGTTCCAGCACGATCAATCGTGGTTCTGGTTCTGGTTTATGTTTAGTCCTTTGTATTTTTCAGGTTTCTTTATGTTTAAGATAAAGTTCATCACTTTAAATGACCGTTTCTCCTCGATACAGCAGGAGGAGAGGCGAACAGGAGAGGAGCTGACCTACAGCTGAAGCTCAAACTGGGCCACCTCCTCCCTCCCCATGTGTGCTGTAATTTAAACTGGGAAAATCCACAGCTGCCTGTAAACTGCCGCATGTTGCGCAGCTCCTCTGCTCCCCCCAGATGGATTTGGAGAAAACTACCAGAGATAATCACAGCTGTGGTTTTACCAACGGAACAAAACAAAGAGGTTTTTATGGTGCAGACGTAAAAACTTTAAAATCCCCCCCCCCCCAACTTCTTCTACCTTCGAGTTGAAAGTCACGTTATGTGACTGTGAGCGCCTTGGTGTGAATTTCGTTTACCTCAAATGTTGGAATTCAAATTTGCAGATGCCAGAGAAAAAATAAAACAAATGTACTTGTCGAGCTCAGCGATCAGGCAGGGACATATTAAAGATGGAAACTCTTCTGCTTTTAAACCAGTGGTGGTCGTAGCTTTCACGCTGCACCTCTCATTGGAAGATCCACTGGAAAGATGATTAAATGCCTCAAATGAGGATTCAGGGGTAAGAGTGCATGGGTTTACCAGCTGAGCAAACTAATCAGCTGCAGCAGCTCCTTTCTGCTGATTTGCCTCCTGCATTGAGAGCGTAAGAAATCCATTTAAGAGTACAGAGTACTACGAACACGAAGTCACACCAAAAACAAAAAACTATCCACCTTATTCCTGGGGGCTCCACTGTCTAAATGATTCTGGTACAACTTCCTGTCAGACAGGAAGTAGCAGTAAACGCTGGTTAACCATGGTGGCAGAGTACGGATCGCGGTTTATTTGAAAATAATTTACATTCAGTTTAGCAGATAACTGTTTTTGTATTGTTCACATTTATTGAAGAACCATAAAGTTTACTAAAATAGCCGTGCTGAGTTCAGGTACCGGTTGTGTTCCCGGCTGCATGAACAACCAGATCAAACTAAACCAGTGGCTACAACAACAGTGTTTGGAACACGGACCCAAAACAACCAAAAAAAAATAGTGATCCTGTGAAAAGCTGTATAGTTTCCATCACCTACCTACAGACTACAGATGAGGAATTAAGAAGAATGTGTCTGAAAAATGTGAACTTGAAGAGACCACCCAAAACACTACGTGTGCTCATTTCACTTTGTTGACAAACGGAGGAAAACCTGCATCCTACTTTGTGTCTGGACTACAATAAACCACCGGAGAAGAGACGCCGGATCCTCAGACGGATTGGAAACAGTGACGAGAATATCAGGTATGATTTCAAGTATATGGAGGTCACAGTACTATAGTATTTGTGTAAGGATCTGGTATTGTTTTGAACCCAAAAATGCAGGGAGGGCTCAAACCACTCAGGTTAAGAGTGAAAAAAGTATTTAATGAAAACATCAAACAAAAGGGTGGATGTGGCAGAAAAACACACGAATAACAAGAGGTCATGAGGGGAGACAGAAACATAGTGAAGGACATGAAACTGAAGTCTTCATGAGGAAATGACCAGATACCAGAACACACTGACTTGAATACACCAACACTGATGAGGCAAATGACAAACAGCTGGGAGAACAACAGGTGAAGAAACCTGGAACTTAATGAGGGAGTAGTAACTTACACAGACTGCGTGATGGAGGCAAAACACTAGGAAGAGAAAAAGGAACCAAGAGAAGGATAAGCACAAAAATTACAGACAAGAGAACACATAATGACAGAACAGGAAAGTAAATAAAGACGAGATAAACAAACAAAAATAGACAGAAAGGGCAGAATATGACAATTTGTTCGTCTTTGGTATTACGATTTTCTCTGTAATGAACCAAAGCTCTGTGATGGAGGACTTTAATACTTTGGTTTGGCTCTGCGTCTGCTTCAATACTGATACTGATACTCCTCAGAGCTTTTCAGGTTGTTCATCACTTCACTGTCAGAAGAAC